TGTTCTGTAGGTTGGGTATTCTCTTCTTGGGCTGTAAGTTACTTTTTGGTAGGGAAGAGTTCTCACTGGACCACTAGGAGTTGTAACCTCATAATGGGCGTACGGCCGAGGACTTGTTCCGTAGGTTAGGTATTCTCTTCTTGGGCTGTAAGTTGCCTTTTGATAGGGGATGGATCTTACTGGAGTATTAGGTGTCGTGGTTTCATAGTGCACATGCGGTCTAGGACTTGTTCCGGAGATAAGGTATTCTCTCCTTGAACTATAATTTGTCGTTTGATAGGGTAAGGATTGCACTGCAGTACCAGGAGTTGTAGTCTCATAATGCACGTATGGTCTGTTACCGATATGACTTGTTCCGTAGGTGAGGTATTCTCTGGTCACACTGTAAAATGCCGATTGGTATGCTGAGGGTTGTGTAGTAGCACTAGGAGTTGTAGTTTCATAATTAGCATATTGCTGTTCATTAGGGCTGATAGAAGCAGTTCCATAATGTGAGTACCGCGGGACGGTATTTGGAACTGCATTCTTGTAAGATACTAACTGCTGCTGGTAAACACTTGGAGCTATCCTTTGATAAGGTGAGCGTTGCGTAGCAGAAGGTGGAGGTGTTGTATTATAAGATAGTCGCTGAACATCTGACTTGGGAGTTTTGGTTACGTGAGACGTGTATTCCCTATTATAGCCAGAAGTTCCGGTACGGTAAGATAAGAATTGCTCTCCGCTGCTAGGGGGAGTGGTTTGGTAAGATAAGTTTTGTCTATAACTGCTACCAGTTGTAGCTTTGTAAAGTGGGGGCTGCGTAGTAGTAGTAGCAGTAGTAGCAGTAGTAGTAGTAGTAGCAGTAGTAGTAGTAGCACTCATAGTTGCAGGCTGAACGGTAGTGGTGGTATATGGAATTGTAATGTCATGAGGCATAGACTGAACAGTTGGTTTAGCGGTTGTAACATCGTAAGCCAAATGATTCGAATAAACGCTGGGGGTTGTAGTTCGGTAAGGTAAATACTGTGCAGATGTAGCTCTTTGAGTTGTGGTTTCATAAGATAGTATTTTAGCGGACGGCGTAAGAGTTGTAGTTTCGTGGGGTATATACTGCCTATTATCACTGGAAGTTGAAGTATGATAAGATAAAAATTGCTTTTTGCTGCTGGGAGGTGCAGTTTGATAGGACTGATATGATCTATTACTGCTGCTAGTCGTAGTTGTGTAAGGTGGAGACTGTGTAGTAGTTGTAGTGGTCGGAATAGTAATAGTAGTAGATGAAGTTGTAATATCTTGAGGTGTGGACTGAACAGTTAATCTAGGGGTTGTGGTTTCGTATAACAAGTATTCCTTAGTGGTAGTCGTTGTTTGATGAGACAAGAACTGTGCGGGTGTAGGTCTTGATGTTGCAGTTCCATATATTGGTTCCTTCTGCGCTTCAGAAGTACTATAAGGCAAGAGACGTGTACTTGTAGTACTAGGAGTTTTGGTTGATGGAGTAGTAGTTGTCGTAGTTGTAGTTTCTGGATGTAAAGGCTCTTGAACTGTGTTTGAATATAGTTGTTCGTCGGGCAAATATAATTTTTTAGCTTCTGGAGTTTTCGCTTCGTGGAATGGCGTTTTTGTAGTGTAGATCAGAACTGTGGTTACTGGAGTTGAGGTTTCAGTAACTGTACTAGTAATTGGTGGAGTTTCCGTTACTGTGGTAGAAACCTGCGCTGTAGTTGTAGTGATCACTTTTGAAGTGATTGAAGAACTCTCGTTCGGTTTGGAGTTTTCTGCCGGAACGCCGGGGATGAATGCATCATAGTAATTGTCTGGTTCAACAGCAATTTGATTTGACTTTTCCGGATTACTGTTATCGGAATAATCGTCATAACTCTCATATATATTTTCTAGATAATCTGATGGTGCCACTTCAATAGGTGTTGCGTCATTCTTAAATGGAATTTATTTGGGAACTAAGTTGCCTACTGATGTTATGGTGGTAATCATATAAAATGTTTGAAACTAATTCTTTCTTACTCATTTAATTGTGATCTTAAAAACATATTCGTATTATTTTAGACAAAACTGATACGCAGGAAAATTTTGAGTACTTTGAAGGTTAGAAGTGAAATGTTTTTGAATAGTAAAAAAAGAAAAAACAATAATTGTGAAACCTCAGAAGCTGCGAAGGTTGTAACCGTAGAAATAATAAAGAACCTAAAATACGTTATATGTATATATATATATATATATATATAT